CTTTTTTGGGATCTTCAATCTCATTGTGGGTTGCGTAGTGATCGTTGCTACGTGGTTCTCATCACACTCTCACATCATGTCTCAACTGGCTCAAAATTCTTTCATGCACATGCGCATGTGCAGGTAATGGAATTGAATAAATGGATATATTTTGGCAGGGAAAAGGATACATATCAATCACCTAAAGTCCATTGAATCAAAAACACCATAATTTGTAAGATAATGCAACAGGAAACATGTGACCTGCCATCATGCAGTACCTTCCACAAGAACGGAATATCAAAATCATAAGCTATGTTAACTTTTTTCATCTCAAACAAAAATTGGAAGTAACAAGAGAAACTTTGTGATAGAGAATAATAGTGTACAGTTATTCCCGTTTAGCTAATAATTTATTTACACCATCTTACATATTGACATGAAACTTTTGAGGAAGACAATAAAGTGATCAATAAGATAATACCAATAGTTATTCAAACTATTGAGCACTAACAAAAAATAGGTTTTTATTTGGAGAAAAACTTGAAAAAAAAAAAAAGGTCCCAATAACATAATTATTTCAAGGACATGAACTGAAACTCTTTAATCAGATCAAGATAACATGATTAGGAAATATCCAACTCTACCTGGATGTGCCAGTTGGAGCCATGACGATTGCAATTGCTTCTGGTAACATGACCTATAGCAAGCCAAGATAACCTTTTTTAGGTACAAGCACAATAATGTAAAACTAGAAAACAGTGGAGTAAAATTCCAGAAAAAGACATCCATATCAAGTCAAATGAACGGTTATAATTTGTCCATCTTCATTTTCCTGTCAGATCTTACATTGTTCCCCTGTAAAACGATCTTTCACGAGACTATTGTAAACTCTACATCCTTCACAGAAACAAATGCAAGTTCTACTAAGCCAACTCGTATAAATATTATTATTGGAGACGACATAATACCATTGTGATAGTCTTTGACATTTTCAGCTTATATTTAGTAATTCTAGTCTTATCTGATGTCTAAGTTCTGGCAGATAGAACAAAGATTGTAGGCATACTACAAAAGCCCTGCGTGTTTGGTTTTTTAAGTAGATTTACTCAGTACATTTGATTTAGTTGCACTGAAAATTTTACAAGTGTTAGGTTACATCAACAAAAACAGAATAATCCAAAAACTCACTTCCAACGAAGTTCATACAAAATTATTAACAAGCCACAATCAGTTTAATTATATCATCTGCATCAAAAGAAACCAATAACTACCTAATGTACATCGATTTCTCGTCATGCAACCTAAATGTATCTCGATCAATACATAAATCATCTAAATCAATAGCAACAACTGCTAGTTTGAACCTTAGCTTATCTTGAGACAAAAGTAAAATATGCTATGAGATGGAGGCAAGCGAAGGGATAATTAGTTCCAAAGGAAATGTTATCGTGCTACTTAGTGGCCGTTCCCTTTTCCTCCCCCTACTTGTTCATATTGGAATTATCCATTCCCAAACTCCTCCATTACCCTCATATAGAATTCAACTTTAAGAAAATATAGCACATTTCTTATTACCTGATATGAGTAATAAGTGTGCAAATCAATTGAAGACATAAAACATGTTTGTGTTGAATGTGTGCAAAATTAAGAATAACCTGAAAAACAAAATATATTAGGGGATTAAAGAAAAATTACCAAGAACATGAGGCAATCATTCAACTCATTTGTCTTATGTTATAACCATTATTTCGCCTAAAATAGACCAAAAAATAATTAAATAAGATTCCTAATTTAGTATTTTTACTTTGACAGCCATTGGATTGACATCAGAAAGGATCTCCTTCATTAAGCTAAAGAGTAGCCTGAGATTAAGTGAGCAGAAATAATGGCAAAAGGTGCCGTAAAGTTGGTCTTAAGACTTACATGAATCCACCCCAACTGGAAAGGGGAACGCTTGTCTTGAACCTCAAAAAATTCTTCTTCATTCAATGGCTGGCACTGAACATTAATAAAATAAAGAATCAATCAGAATAAAGTTGTCACTCCCATCAATAATAAAGTTTCATAAGAACTAGCACCGAAAATGTAACTTAATTAGATTATTGAAGTCAACAAGCACTTTTAAATTACAACTGCAATATTATAAAGATGTAATAACATTTAAAACTGACTGGTCCAAATAAAGAACACAACTACTTCTAGGTGATAAAATTCATCCAATCTATCAAGTCATAATTTCCTTTAAAAATGTGCAACTCTTCCTACTTTATAAACAAATATTTATATTTATATACTGTATTCAGACTTAAACTACTACCAAAATAGATCAGAAGGCAAATCCTAAAAAAGGGTCAGAAAAATTACTGGATGGAGGGGACTGCAGATGACTTTATTATTTATTGTTTGGTGTGTGGGGGATGGGAGACCATGGGAATTAGAAAGCTTAAATATTACATAAACAGTATTACCGAATCTGAAGTTGATTCTTGCTTTGGAATTATGTGTTAAGAATTGAAGTTTCATCTTAAAAGGTCAACCTTATTAAGAGGAGTAACTCAATCCTTTATAAATTGGTCTATATTTACATTTTTATTCGATGCGGGATTCTATGCCTTAACATGCTATCGCAAGATGGTGGCTCGTTTGAGCAGTCCAATCTTGAAATCCGATACTCACTTTTGGAGTCTTGATCGGATCGAATTGCTCGTTAGAGCTTAATGGGCTCTGATACCATGTTAAGAATTGAGGTTCCATCTTAAAAGGAATTGAGTTCCATCTTAAAAGATCAACATTGTAAAGAGGAGTAACCCAAGTTGGGCTACTCCTCTTTACAAGGTTGACCTTTTAAGATGGAACCCAAATTCTTAATATGGTACCGAGCCCATTAAGCTCTAACGAGCAATTCGATCTGGTTAAAACTTCAAAAGTGAGCATACGGATTTCAAGATTGGTTTGCTCAAACGAGCCACCATTTTGCGGGGGCATGTTAAGGGATAGAATTCCACATCGAATAAAGATGTAAACATAAACCAAATTATAAAGAATTGAGTTACTCCTCTTTACAAGGCTGACCTTTTAAGATAGACCCTCAATTCTTAACATATTGAGTGCAGTAATATGAAATACTCTGTTTTGCTACAATTAAGTCAAATACAAAATATATTAGATAATACGCAAATTAAGTGCTTAAAGTAAACCTTCATTCTTCCATTAAAAGAAATATAAGGAAACTAGACTTCTTACTAGTGAATCACAAAGAACACCACAAGTTTCCAAGTTTTTTCTAGTATTTTCTTGTGCCAATCTCAAAAAATCTTACATCATCTTCACTGGCTGCAATATAAGCAAAGGGCATCACATTAGGCCAAATAGTTAAATATTAGGCATGATTTATCGAAAACAACGAAAAATGTAATGTTGCAAAAAATTTCACAGAATAGTGGAATTATCATCTGATATTTCAAGTTAAAAATCAAGACAACAGACTGACAATGTGAAGATCTTGGTATGAATTGAAACTGGGCAACCCATCCTTAGAAAGTGGTGGTCCTGGCCTTGGTTCAGCAACCCTTGATGGAGAGAGAGGAAGAAGCTCTGACTGCACTTGTGCAAGAACAGGAGGTGGTGAAGGTGCCTGATATTTTCGAACTGATAATTCTCATTCATTATTTCCTTGGCTAAAGAACCAGGATCTTCAGAAGAATTTAGCCATCTACCGTAATCTAAAGACAGAACAGACTCCATAGTTGCCTTTTCCAGTTTTGAGTTGTTATTTTTTGTTGCCATGGGTTCATATTGTCCAACCTGATTCAGGCTATAACATAGTGAAAATTTTAAGTGTTAAAAGCAATTAACACTCAGTAAACAAGCAAACACAAGCATGTACAATATCAAAATATAGTGTTATACAGATATAGAGATATATATACATACACAGAGACGACCCTTCCAAGTTTTCAAACTTCAATTTAAAAAGCAATCACTCTTCAAATAAGACACTAAACTGTCATCATTACTCTAAACAGAAAGATAGCAATTACTTAAACCCCAAAAAGAATTAAACACCAAATCACAAGGGGAAAAATGATAGAAATCATTGAAGCGTGCATGATAAGATTCTCACCTTGAAATTTCACTCAAGTCATGGACAATATTGGTCATATAGTTAAC